ATTGTGTATTTATTTCCTAGATTAGCTTTGGGAAGTCCTGGGGGGGGAGGGGGGAAAGGGGTAGGTTGGTGTTATAGATTTATATGTATATATATGTATGATTTTTTAAGGAGGTGCCCGGTGGTACCCCAACTGCACTGTGGTTGAGGGAGAAAGGGAGGTAGGAAAGAGGGAGGAAGGAGGAGTGGTGGTAGGATAGCGAGGAGGAAGGTGTAGGCAAGTGAGAGGGTGGTGCGGAAGGGGGACACCGGACACGTCCATGAATGTATTGATTGGTGTTGATTCTTTTTATGGTTGATATTATGCTAAAAGATTTATGTTTTTGTTTTTCAATGAAAAATCAATAAAAAAATTTAAAAAAAAAAAAGCAGAATGTTAGGATAAACAGAGATGGATCTGTAATATCTTGATAGCAGGCATTCATCCCTAAGGTTGAATGTGCAATTAATCATCTCCACATTCTCAAAATATAAGGTCAGGATTTTCTTCCTATACTTCGGGGAAACACCTATTTTGGGGGGGGGGATTTTTTAAAAATATACTTCTTCCATGTTATTTACCTGTTTAAACAGTATGGAGATATGATAGTAATATCACTGGAATTTCAAGAAGCTTGTTTAGTAAAACTGAATAAGCCTACTGGGACAAATACCAGAGTGCCAATTGTCTAAAAAACATAACACACTCTGCTAAAAATGAGCAAGAATGGGGCAAGATAAAAAACTCTCCAGAAGTTGCCATATTAAAGAATCAGGGTGTGGGTCTCTGATCCTAGTGAGTGCAATGAACCTGCTTTGAATGGCAGGATAGATCTGAAACATTGAACTGAGTATGAATTGGATTGCAATGGACTTTGAGGAAGGAAGGATGGGTAGGAATGCTAAATCCTAAGAGACTGCTGGGGACATTAGGAAAAGGAGCCCAAGATATTAAAAGGACAACTGCAAGCAATTTAAATGAAGGGAAAAGATGGAGGTTAGTTGAAAAAGCCCATGTGGCTGCACTATCATGTTAGTGAAAATATGAGAACATTTAGAAATACAAGTAGAACAAAGGGAAGAGTAACCAAGGAAGAATATTTTTAAAAATTATACAGATTTTCAGAAATGGTGTTAGTAAATCTACATGCTGAGGAATGTGCTCAATGGGTATTTTCAGGTACAGATACACTCAAAATAAATTAATCTGGTCAGCAAGTTGCTCTTATTTGAGACTCAGTCCTCTCCAAAAGATGATATGTGTTCCAGGAGACACTGACAAGTCAGATTAAGGGAAAACACATAAAGTTCAAGACTGATCATAGCAAGTCTAGAGAAATTTACTCTGTATGAATTTATATATACTGAAGGAATTTGCTGACAAACTAGTTGAACTTTTAGGCATTATTTCTGAGAAGTCCTTAAGAACTGATACAGTGCCAGATGACTGGAGGAGGAAAAGAGTCCTTATCTTCAAAAGGCGGGGAATGGAGGATCTGAGGAGCCACATACAAATCAGTCTGACACTGATGTCTGGAAAGATTTGAGAGTGGTTCTTGAAGAGATTCATCTGTAGGCAGCTGATAACAATCCCATAATTACAAGAAATCAGCCTGGATCTGTCAAGAACAAACCTAGCCATCTATTTTTGATTGGTTAACTTCCTTAGAAAATTATAAAAATGCTATAGGTACAATTGTTCAGACTTTGCCAAAATTCCCCCAAATATTATAATTAGTAATATGGATAGCATGACAATATACAGTCAGCTTGAAATCATATCCCCAACATACTCATTATGGTTGTTCAACAAACAATCTAGTTCAGGGGTGTCAAACTGCCGGTCGGATGCATCATAGCAAAACTGCGCCCACCCCATTGCTGGCAATGGCAAAAAAAGTCACAATACTTCGCGACATGTCACGTGACGTTGCAAGTTTGACACCCCTCATCTAGTTTGATGGACTGAAGGTATCACAAGGGGACAGAGGCCTTATGCTGTACTTCGGCACTGCACTCTTATGTGCCTTATTTATGATTTAATTTTAGATGAAGAGGTGGAATAAATACTTCTCTAAATTGTAAATGATATAACATTCGTTAGGATAATCAATTGCCTAGAAAAAAATAACATTCAGTAATAAACATGATAGATTAAAGACATGGGCTAAAAGTAACAGAATTCAATTTAATTGAGACGATTGTAAAATTTCTTAAGTTGAAAACAGAAAACAGAAAATTACATATATATGTAATAGAGGAAATACTTGGCTGATCCAGCCACAAATATTCTGCCCAGTTCTGAGCATTATTAGGAAAGATTGAGAAAGGTCCAGAAAAGTGTAACAAGGTTCAGAAAAGTGTAACAAGAGTAACGAGAATTTTCAAGGAAGAAGACCAAGAGAAATTGAAAGATTTATGATTATTTAATTGTGAGAAAATGGGGGGGGGATTGGTTATAACAGCATTCTTTGAATATCTGAAAGGTTGTTGCACAGAAGAAACAGAAAATTATTAATCCAGAGAATAGGAATAATTCATTATGAAATAATGAATTTAAGTTACAGGAAGGCAGAGTCCAATAGAATGCTAAGGGGGAAAACTTCCTAACAATAAGAATAGTTCTGCAATAGGACCAATTCCCCAGTGTGGTAATGAAATCCTTCTCACTGGATATATTCAAGTAGAGATTAAAACAAAGATGCTTTAACCTGAATTCCTGCACTACAGCAGTAGATTGGACTCATTGCCGTAAAAGGCCCCTTCCACTTTTATGATTATATGATTTTGTGATAAGCTACTATCGCCAAAGAAGCTAAAACTACAAAATGCAGTATCTTTGCCATTCCTATTACAAATCTTTCCACTGCTTTCCCTTAATTTGAAACTGCCCTTTTAATTTCCCAGAATATCTTGAAGCAAAATTGGAATGGGGAAAATTGTGTGGAATTTAAGATGTGGCTCCTAGCTACCCAGTACCAATCAGATTATCCACTAAAGGGGCTTCTTCAGTGATTCCAAGAGAGTCTCAACCTACAGCCAGCCCAGAGCACAATGGTTAGAAAAGGAGCAAAAAGGAGCCCCTGATCCCAACCACAGCTCAGTTCAATCTTTGGCAAGCTATTGTGTTTCAGTTTGGACTCTAGATACAGATTTAGAATAATAATATTGACCTACCTTCAAGGATAAGTAAAGTGCTCTGAATGATTAGGAAAGCATGCACATAAACATTACGTTTTCAATTTTACCTTTTCAAGAAAAGAAAAGAAAACCATCAATAAATCCTCTCTTCCTTGGAAGCATTTAAAGCTGCCTTTCACAGCCTGTGCCCGCCAGATGTGTTTGCCATGATGGCTGGGAAACATAGGAACTGAGTTCCAATACATCTGGAAGGTTCCAGGTTGAGGAAGATTTCACTGAAATATATGAACAAGGTGCTGGTTGAGAGCTCCTGCCAGTTCCCAGTTCACATATAAACTGAGGGGAGAGTCCCAGCAATGGTGCCCTTTCGGCCAATCACTGAGAGTTCATGCTGGCTCTTCAATGCTGGCAAAAGCCAAAAGGGAGAGCCCCCTTGGGTTAAAATCTGTGACCAGTAATAATACTGACATAGGTTGTAAGTCAGAAAAAATAACTTGCTGAGGCATCTTCAGCTTGCAATGCTATAAAGTTCTGAGAGAATGCTTCATAGGCAGACATTGATTTGCTTGGAGAGTTCTCGCTCAAGGTCCAAGATGAGAGCATCGAAGTCTTTCAAATTGAGCTTTGGGCTAAAGGGAGTCTCTGGATCCTCCACCAGGGCAAAATCACCCATGTAGACTGCTTGGCTATGGAGTGCCAATCCTTTCCTCAAAGCCCCCCCCTCATTCTCCTCTTCTCTGTCACTCTCACTCTCTGCCACCTCATCATAGTCAGCTTCGCTGCCTGGCTTGGAGGCTCCCAGGAACTGCTGTCCACACACACTCCAGTCTCCAGCATAACGATTTCTTGGAGGACTTTCCAATCCTCTTGGGTGACTTCGAGTAGTGACAGTAGTGTTTGACAGTGGCAGATCCAGAGGAGGGTGGCATTGGTGACAGGCCTCCTTGCTTGGAAAGGTACATTCCCCATCTTCCATCTTCCTATGTGGCACTGAGAAGGAAGGCAAAATAAGACCAAGAGGGAATGGAAGTTGACAGTCACCCAAAGTGCACAAGAATACGCAGCTAATTTGAAATCCAGTTTCAAATCTGCCTGCTGAGGTCCGAGCATAGCATTATTTCTAAAAAAATCTTACCTCACAAATACTGATATACAAATCACCAGAGTTATTGCGAATCAATCAATTTGAATATGAATAGATCTATTATTTGAAGCAAAGGCTTCATGTGCATTCTTCCATATGCTGGATTCATTGGTGTTACATATGGCTTAGTGGCATCTTGTTTTGCCTAAGAAAGAACATTCCATGGTTGAGGTCTGGGATAACTTCAAGATCACATCCTGTTCTAGATGTATTTATGAAACATATTAAGGCCAAAGTATTCAACATTTGGAAAAAGGCGTATAAAGCTTTTGCTTCTCATGATACATTTATTCATAGAGCAATACTTAATTCACTTATTGAAATATATACACTGATCAAACTATTTATTTATTTATTTGCATTATATAGCCATCCATATCACCAAAGGTAACTCCCAGTAAACTGAGAGCACCCCAATTTGTTGGAGGACTATTACTTTGGCTACTGTTCTAATCCCTTTACAGGGGCTGATTCAACCAGTGATCATTTTCTGGTTTGAGCTTTTGGGGGAAGTGAATTATTACTTTGTTTTTTAATTATACTTTTTAAATGGCACAGATGGGAATGTCCCTATCTCTTTTGCATTGCAATTTCACACATTAATCCATACTCATAGGGTGAAAACAAAATGGGGAAAATATATGCTGTGACCATAACATCCCTATTTACAATTGCTCCAGCTTCTCATCTTTATGACCACAGGCCAGAAGGGAAGGTTATTTAAGTAGCCTCTTTTTCAGGTCCAGATGATACAAAGAATTTTACAGTGATAACTGCAGTTATACCACCTTAAGTTAACCACAATTTGACCCAAAGTCTAAAACTATAGTATTTAGAAATACTTTTGTTTAATATGTTGTTTGGTCAAACTAACTACCCATCTTACATATGCTTCTTATTTTATTCTCTTGAAATATCCTTCACTATAGATTTAAGACTATCCACCAAGTAACTCTTGACTGATCAAATAAGGAGACAAAGTACCATAAGCTCAAAATGCTTAGAATACTCCATACCACATTACAATTCAACAAAAAGTATTAGGACTCATTACGTGATTGGCAAAAACCCAGCAGCTAAAGCTAAAGCAAATTTGTCCCCAAAAATGGAAGAGATGCCTTTGAACCTCTGGCACACTCACCTGGCCAGGACTGTAACAGGTAATGTAATACTTCAAGATGATGTTTAAAATCTCTGGTTCTGGCAATGGTACAATGCTGCTGGCCAGATCTGGAGACTATGGTCACACCTGCCCCTTGGCTCAGGAGCACAGGCCCAAAGCACACAGCAAGATTCTGGGCATTCATGCGATTGAAGGTATGGAAAGCAGCAACCAAACTAAGGTGATCAAGCAGCATTATCAAAGTGGCCTAAAAATGGAAATGACAGGTTATTTCAGTCTATTCTGTCAATAACAAAAAAAGAAAGATCTTAATCAAGTGGAATAATGAACTGCTAGGAAGAATGTGCAGTCTTTCAGTAGAAAAGTATTCAGGAGGTCCATCCATGGGGAAATCCACTAATGATACATTGTGAGAGGTTACCCTTGGGTCTAGCAGAGAAATCAAGATTTTTAAAGGGCGGTTAAGCCTGAGATTAATAGACCTATTCTCCCTTTCTCAACCTGGGACTTCCTCACCTTCTCAGCCTCTGGTAGGCAATTCAGAAGAGCTGTTGTTGTCTCCTTCACTTCCAGCCCTACTGTCCGATTGGACATAGCTTCCAGTACCACCTGATAGAGGGGGTCAGTGATAAGAGGAGTGGGTAACTCACGCAAATAGTCCTTCAAGATCCCTGGAAAGGAGGAAAACAGAAAACAAAATTCAACATTACCTTTGTTCTAGGTTCAGCCTTCATCTTTATTAGATAAGGCTGATATCATAGTGGTACTTCAAGATCTGTGCCACATTAAGGTTCCTTGACATGAAAGTCCTGATATACAAACTTTGTATGTGAGTGCGTTTTTTTCCTCACTGGATGGATAAGAGAGCAAAATGATAGCAGAGGGAGGAAGCAGACAGATGTGATGCAAAGTGACCCAACACGTTTGAATCTTTTGCTGCTCAAAACCATACTTTCACATCATTTGTCAAACAATACATAGAAAGGAACAATGAACTGGGACATATCCACTGAGCCACTCTTGACAAACAAACTCATAGTTGATTAAATTTGTTTGCACAAATGCTTCCATTGTTGAGATCCATCCTCGTATTTTCATATAAATTTTCATTTTTATCTTTTCCCATGTCAAAGCAAGGCATTTCTTATATAGTGATTTTGAAAGTATGTATGGATTTTGTTCTTCCCATACTATAGAAAAGGGTGCCATCCAAGTTGTAGATCAGTGATGGCGAACCTTTTAGAGACTGAGTGCCCAAAAACTGGCCCCGCCTCTGCTCCACCCCCTGCCACATCCTGCCTGCCCATAGGGCCACTCACCGCCTCCAGGGCCCACCACAGATCGCCCAGGCAGCCCAGCAGCACCATGGCAACCACGCCCTTTGCCCACACCCCGCAGCATCAACTGTGCGCATTGGGGTGTGAGGGCAGTCTTGTCTACGCTGCCTGGCTGCCATGTCCTTGGCTGCGCTGCTCTGCGCAGGCCATGCTCGGGGGCAACTCTCCTCCAGGGAGGCTGCTGGTGAGGAGGGGGTCGCGGGCGGAGGCAAGGCTGGGGCAACAGCATGTGTGTCCACAGAGAGGGCTCCGAGTGCCGCCTCTGGCACCCGTGCCATAGGTTCGCCACCACTGTTGTAGATCATGACCTTCTTTGTTCTGTCCTCTTTGAAGTATCTTTCTTGGGGTGAGAATGGAATGTGCCTCTGGCTAGCTGTCTTATCTCCAGGCAGAGGGAAAAAGCCACGGAGAGACCTGACAGCCTTGAGAGTGTGCCTTATTGGTTCTTTCCCACAACAATTTGACATCTATGGATTGGCTCTGTTTGAACCAGCCAGACGGACAGTTGGGGTGGGGTTTGACTGGGTTCTCTTAATCTATCATTTTGCATGGGAAATCTTCAGATCCTCCCTTACTTTCCTGCTGTCAATACCTTGTAATAAAAGTTCCTGTTGAAACAATACAAGTTTTAAGAGTTCTGCTTTCTTGGGAGGTGTAACTGAGGCAGGTCCTTACATTAGGCAAGATCTGCAAAGGGGCCAAGGAGGGAAAAACCCCTACCATGGGGACCGTGCAAGCGATGTCTAATCATGGTGGCGAGAAGGGAGAGAGAGAGAGCGCTGGGTGGAGGCGCCCTCGAAGGCTTGCCCAAGCAACATCGGCTCTGACTCCTCCAGCTCAGCTGACAAGGCAGAGACCGGGGAGAACCTCGCAAAGCCAAGATGGTCAATCAGCATGGGGAAGAAAGAGAATTGGGAAGGAAGATCCAAGAAACTGACCCTCCACCGCGGCAGCCACCAGCCGGGGTGTAAGTGTGAGATGGAGGGGTCGCTCAACATTAATGAGAAGACAAGAGACTGACCCGGTCTGACTGCTTCTTTAAACAATCTGATGGTGAAAGCTTTCAAAACCCTCAAGGAGGAAGAAATGGATCCCTGCCGGGGCTCGGTCAAGAGAAGGCTGGAGGAGGAAGAGGAAAGGTGGGAGAGTGAACCTGCCAACCCTGGCACTTCCCCCAGTGCCACAGAAACCGCAGGGGCTGTGACCGCAGCAATGACCCTAGCTCAAGCCACCCCAGCCAGGGTCGATGGGTGCAGGGCCAGAAGGAGGGGAAATGGCCATTACAACTGGAAAACTCCCCCCCGGGGATGAAGTATGATGGAGACCCCCCAACAACTGGGATTCTTTTTGGCTCAAGTTCTGAGCTACATGCATGAGTATGGCCAGGAGATCCCCAGTGAGAGCAGGCAGGTCAGAGTTGTAACCATGGCCCTGGAAGGCGCAGCAGCCTGCTGGATGGTGACCCTACACAATGCTGATGCTCCCAAACTCCGAAACTTTAAACAATTCATGGCCGCCCTGAGACGGAGATTCAAGGACCCCTTAGCTGACCAGAAGGCTAGGGGCTGCATCAAAATGGTGATGCAGGGCCGATGCCCAGTGGCCGAATACACCGAGAAATTCCAAGACCTGGCTTGCCGTCTCAACTGGCCAGAGGAAATCTTGGTGAGCTGTTTAAAAGACAGGCTGAACGACAATCTCTACCATGCTTGTATCGCCCGAGGAGCCCCTCCCTGCCTCCACGACTGGTATATCCTGACCGAGGAGGCAGAGATTGACCAAGCCCGAAATCAGCATCGGTTTGGTTGGGGGTGGAAATACTCCCCGCTGGAGAAGAAAAGAGAGGTGATGAAAACCCCAGCGGCGGTGCCATGCTCAACTGCCTGCTTCAAGTGTGGTAAGGAAGGTCACTGAGCTGTGGAGTGCTGTTCAAAGACCCCAGTCAGAAATCCAGACTGGCTTAGAGGGTGGAAACCTGGGGAAAAACCCCAGTGTCCCAGGGAGACTACGATGTAAAGCATCGAGGTCCTTGAGTTCCAACCCTCTGAAAAATTGGGAGAGGGAACTCCGACCCCACCAGAGAAGAGACCGGAGATGTCCGACAGTGATTCTGATGATGAGCCCCTGGTAAGTGGACCCATCGCACCCCTCACCAGGCCTATAGAACTATTAAGTCCAGGGATGGAGGAGAAGGTAGCCCTGGAGGCTCTATTGGACTCGGGCTGCACCAGATGCTTGATAAGCCCAACCCTAGTGGGGAATTTGGGAATACCTGCGAGGAGACTGAAAAAGCCTATTTTGTTTGGCCAGCTAGATGGGTCCATTGCAGGGGGTGTCTACTTACCACATGGCCAGTAGAACTTACCATGGGGACCACACTGAGACTTACTTTTATAGTGGCTCCCAGCATGGAGTGGCCTCTGATCTTAGGAATGGCGTGGTTAAAAAAGTGGAACCCGCGGGTGAATTGGAGTACAGGAGAACTGAGGTTCCCAAAAGGTCCCCATGTGCAAGGTGGACACCGCAGTGCTAGAGGTAAAAGAAAATACAAAGTAGCAGCAGCTGTCAATGATCAGGGATTGGAAGGCATGCCCAAAGAATACCAGGACCTAGCTGAAGTGTTCAGCAAAGAGTGATCTGATGAGTTGCTCCCCCACCATCCCACAAACTGCGCCATTGAGATTGTCCCAGGAGCTAAGCTATCCAAGCCCAAACTCTACTTGACCCCCCAAGAGTTAGCAGAACTGTGAAAGTTCATAGATAAAAATTTGGCACGAGGCTTCATTCAGCCGGTAAGACCAAAAATGGCTGCCCCGGTGCTGTTCTGTGAAAAGAAAGACGGGTCTCTTCACCTCTGTGTGAATCTTTGAATGTAGTATGCATGAACAATATCTACCCCTTGCCACTCATGAAGGACATGCTAGCCCACCTCTCAAAGGGAAAGATTTTCTCTAAACTGGACTTGCGAGAAGCATACTACCAGGTTGGAATCAAAAAGGGAGATGAATGGAAGACTGCATTTAACTGTCCCCTAGAATGTTTCTGTTAAGTCCGGAGAATAATGGCGCTTAAGACGAAGCATTTCTAACAAGTCTTTATTCTCTGCTTCCATTCTACGAACAACCCGAGCAGAGGCACGCAGGCCTCTATTTATACCTTCTGATCCCCGGGCAAGTTCAACCAATCATGAGGCGGTATTTTCCCGCCTTGCGCATGCGCACAAGGCCGGCGCCACTCAGTCTGGTCCCGGGCAGCTTTTGCAAATGCCCG